GGGCGGCTCGACGAGCTGCTAGGGGCGGTGCCGCGGCCAGAAGGGCGGCGCGTCAGTAGGATAGGACGGCAGGGCAGCTAGTGGGGCAGCTCTGCGGTGGGCCCTAAAAAAATTCCAGTCCTAGCGAAGGACCTGCTCTGAAACCAGGTCAAACTAAACAGAAGTTGGGTACAAGTACTAACCCTAATTGGGTTGTACCCCTTATGGGCTACCCCACTATAGCCTACACAAAGTAAGCAATATAGCATGTTGACTCTGCCTCTTCTCTTGTGGAGCTGCACCGAGTTTGGTTCTGCGTGTCAATTCCATATTCTCCATATTCTCCGTTTGTCACCAGAATTTATTTGCTTGCACACTCCCCCACCTCCCCCCACCCCCTTCTGCCCCCCTCCCCTAGTCTACCCCCTCGCCTGCTTGTCACACAGTGCCTTTTTGCCCTGTCGTTTGACCCCATGTCAGTGGTACTGTCAAAGTTGGAAAAACTTTCCACCAATACCCCATTCTTCGGTGTTATCCCAATTGCACATGCAAGTACCCATATACCGCATGATTGACGTTCGTTGAGATTCAAGTGGGTGATACTTGAATGGCAACAATCCAAGTTGATGACACTTGACGACCACCAGCTATACCTTACTGCCTTGCCTTCCACCCTACAGTGCAAACCCACATGCAACTACACATATGTACTATGCCAACCAATTCCGGGTGAGGTTGGCCATTGATAGTCACGTGGGTGACATTTCAACAGCAGCCATGTCATCCTGCCTTGCACTAACAGTCCACGTCCCTTGACTTCATTTATTGTTGGGCCTCGCAGGTTTGTGACTGTCAACGCAGGCTTTGCAACATTCCAAGTATTTTCGGGCCTTGCAAATGATCCAAGCTCCAAAAGGAGTAAAAAATATGCCTGAATACAGGGTACATGGCAAAAACATGCCTCCCTATCCGGAAGGGTAGAGAAACCATTCAAATGAACCCAGCCAGGTCCATCTAGCCAGGGCCATCTAGCCAGGGCAGTCGCAGCAAGCAACAACACGAGCTACCAAATTTATTCGCAGGGAGCTCTAAAAAAGCTGCAACGAAATGTACGGTACCAGTGGTGGTAAATCTGGTAGGTGAACGGGAAGGAAATGATAGAAGCCAGGTAGGAGCCAAAAGTTGGAGCTGCTGCTGGTTGGGAGTGGTGCAGCTGGAATTGAGGCGAAGGGGAATGATGACACTGAGGTTACTTGGAAGAAGAGAAGGACTTGAGAAGCGTCCTCCCTGTGTAGCCGGAGCTGCCGCTGCTGCTGTTGGGAGTGGTGCTGCTGGTTCTCGTGTCGCTGCTCCTGCTGAAGCTGAGTGCAACGCTGATGCTGCTGATGCTTGTCATACCACTCGAGCCGCTGTCAGAACGGACCGTCTTGCTGCATGCCTTGTCTCCCTTCACGTATGCTCCGCCGCAGTCCCCATCGCGCTCATCGTATGTGTCGTCATACGATGCCTCTCCATTGGCTTGATCGTATGCCTCCGAGTCGTAGCATTCTTCATCCGATGCTGTTTCCGTTGCCAGTTCTGGCTTCCTCTTATTGGATGTTGCTGCTGACGTGTCCTCTCTGGTTAGCGTTACCGGAACAGCAGCTTCGGAGCACTTCAAATGGCGAACCAGCCACGGGTGGTCCAGAATACCGTCGATGTCGATCCGCTCCAGAGGATCAACGGTCATCATGCGGCAGATCAGATCCTTAGCCGCCCAGGAAACCTCACGCTTCCCCCCATCTGCGCGCGCATCCTTCCGCCAGGGGAAGTACCCGAAGTCCTCCGCGGGGACGAGTTTCCGCTCGCCCGCGCGGAACGCGGGCCAGGAGGCGGAGAGAAGCGCGTACAGCAGCACGCCCAGCGACCACACGTCCGCTTCGCACCCGTACGGCGCGCGCGCGAGCACCTCGGGTGCCTCGTACGGCGCGCTCCCCGCGAGCCCCACGATGCACTTATCGCGCGGAAGCTGGTACGCGAGACCGAAGTCCCCGAGCCGCACGTCGTGCTCCGCCTTCCCCGCTGCGCAGGCGGCGGCGGCGGCGGCGTCCGCGGTGTCGGGGAGCACTGTTTGGCGGCGCGAAATGAGGATGTTTTCTGGCTTGATATCGCGGTGGACGACGCGGTGGTCGTGGCACCACTGCACGGCGCGCGCCACTTGCGCGAAGATCCGCGCAACCGTGCGCTCGTCGAGCCCGCGCGGATGGTCCGCGAGCAGCCCGAAGAGATCCCCGCCGTCGCAGAGCTCCGAGAGAATGTAGACGGCTTTCGCGTCCTCGTACAGACTGTCGAGTCGCAGCATGTTTGGATGGCCTTGCAGGATGATTAGAAGGGTGATTTCGCGCTGAAGGTCCGCTTCCGCCGCGGGGGAGAGCCCGCGCTTGTTCACCTGCTTGCACGCGAAGGCCTCCCCCGTCGCGCGATCCACGCAGCGCCACACGCGGCCCGACTGGCCTTCGCCGAGCAGGTCGCTGAAGACGCAGCGACGCGCGAGCTCCGAGGAATGCTGCGGAGTGAACCGGTCCATTGGGGGCCGTGTCCGAAAAAGGAATGGGTTGGGCTCTCAAAGCAGTCAGTGCTCTAGCACTGGGTGGCTAGGGAGTGATGACGAGGAATCTAGTACTTCCACTGGTGTGGCTGGTTATGGAGATTGGCTAGGAAAGGGATAATTCAGTTGGTTGGGAGAGACCAGACGGAATCAGCCTGGCTGGGATTTATGAGTGATTTGAGAGGCTGACGGGTTTCTGGCATCAGTGCAGCCTGTTTCTGAACCGTCACGGGCTCCTGACTCACTAAACACATCGGTCCATTTCGGTTGTGACGTCTGAAGATCGGCGGGATTGGGTGCATGCTTTATTGTTCCCCACTTCCCTCCCCCCTCCTCCCCGTTCTGGGGAACCCAACTCGATTCAGAGAATTCCGAAGAGACGGCTGCTGACCGGAAAATCTTGGCACGCGTGGAAGGACTAAGCGGATTGTGAGTGGTGGGTGTGCAGGCTGGCATCAATTCAAGCGATGTGATTCGTGCAGCGCACTTCTTCGATCAGAGATTGTGAACGATGCGCCTTCTCGAATCAGTCTGCTTCGGCTTGCACACGAGCGACAAAATAGGCAGTGCAACCAAGCCGGCTTGCTGGCTCATCCGTGCACTTCACGCCACATCACACAAGGTGCCAAAAAACATCGCTCAAGCCTGTGGTTTCATGTGGTTGTGAACTTTGTGATGTGAAGTGAAACAGGTTATGTTATTGCTCGGCGAGTCTCCCCACCAACCCAAGCTATACACCTGGTTCCGGCGAGGGCTAAACTCATCGCCAAAAATTACAGACCTCTCTAGCATCTCTTCTAGCCTAGGCCCATCAGCTGCAGTTATGAATGTTAAAGTTTGTAGTGTGTTCCTACATCGCCAAAACAAAATGTGTACTCTCTCTATTGTCATACAGACCAGTCTGCCCAGAACATCTGCTTAAAGTCCCAGCTTGTCACCACCACCACTCTCCCGATCTGTACTTGAACTGTGCATCATTTACAGTGAGGCCACCGCGACACTCGTTCTACATACACACTTTCCCTTGCAGTTCGACTCCACACCCCTCACCACAATCAGCGAGGGCACTGAAATTTAACCCCGCATACCGCACAACACTCCTGCTGGTGTGTACTTTCGTGCACTCTATCCAAGTCTAGAAGCGACACAGCATCCACACCAGGAAGAGGCGGATTAAACTGGCACGGAACGGGAAAACGACATATGTTCCTGGGGTTCCCTGCCCCCATCTGAAATAACTTAGATATGTTTCTTCTGCCCGCCGTACGTCGAGATAAGACAAGAGCAACTAGCGGGGGGGCGGCTAACCGGGAGATGTGACAGAGCATGGCATCCACTCACGCTGCCCTGACCAGCATCAAACCAATGGCAGAAATGAGATGTGGGATAGAAATTTTAGGTCTGCCGCACTTTCGCAGATTCTTTCATTCGTGTAGAGGCGGGGATGGCATGATTCTATTCATGAAATTCCTAAAATATCAGTGAGAACGTCGATTTTTTTTTTCCATCCAGTACAGTACAGTACAGCTTCACTCTCTCCGAGGCTGACTGACTGTACGGAACTCGGCACAGAAGGTGGTGCACAGAAGTTGGTGCACAGAAGAACTACAACCGAGTTGCGAAACTGTACCAGCCCGAATTAAAACTGAACAGAAACAAGTTCGGTTCGGCGTGGTATTATTAAACACTGTAGCTCCCAATTGGCACGCTTTCGGCAGTGGATGCTGCTGCACCTGACTTAGGTGCACATTTGCCACCCAAAACCCAGAACCCTGGCGAACTGTTACTGCGGATGGAAAGTGTCCGCACGAAATCCTGGTTTTCGCCAGCCAGCACTTTCGCGCTGGCAAGCCTGGTTCAAAAAAAAAACTTCTGAACCCAACACTGCCAAGAGTTGCCCGTCGCTTTTAAAAATGGGAAATGGATGTGGGGTGTACGTTCATCAAAGTGCACGTGGTCCTGCTAAAACACTAACCTGACACATGTGTTACCGGTAGATATTAGGCTATGACCAGTGAATGTGTCACACTAAAGCAGGCCCTCTTGAAAACATAAACGGCAACTTGTGAGGATATCAATCACAACTCGTATTTAGAAAACAATCCAGATGAGAGAACAGCAGAAGCTTGGGGACAAACAGAATCATTTTGTTCATCAAGCAGCTCCGAGGAGCAAGAATGTGCTCAAACTATCAACGTCAAGAATACCTTGCAAGGCAAGTCCAAGTCAAGCCATAATGCAGAGTGACAAACGGGCGAGACATTAGCTTGTGACTCATGACCATGAGGCCAGTCTGCTTCGGCTTCGAAGGAAGAAGGAAACAATGGTTATGACTCACGACCATGAGGCCAGGCGAGTCTGCTCGCTGCGTTTTCCATGACCAGAAGGAAATACGGTAACACACGAACGATCCTTTCCACTGAATTTTCATTTTTCAATGTGCCTGACTGGGGAGATGAGTGGGTGCTGCAGGAGCGGAGGCGTGGGGAGGGGGAGAGGGGCTTGCAGAATGCTGCAGCATGGAGGGGTGCATCTGCATGTGCATGTGCATGGGCATGGGCATGGGCATGGGCATTGGCATTGGCATGGGTGCATGCATGGGTGCGTGCATGGGCGATCGGACGGGAGAGTAGGCCAGAGCAGGATGCAGCAGGTGGGGATGGTGATGGTTGAAGGGGCTGTGGGGATGGGGGAATGGCATGGGTGCATGCAGTGTGTGTAGAGGGGGGGCTGGGGTGGCAGGAGCAGATTGAACGCCAGACTGCTGTCGCTGTTGCAGCTGCTGCTGCTGCTGCTGCTGCTGCTGCTGGGGTTGCTGCTGCTGCTGCTGCTGCTGCTGCTGCTGCTGCCTGGGTGGGGTATGCATGAAGTGTGAGGCGAATTGCTGGGAATCCTGCTGGGGGTGCTGATAGGAATGCGGCGGTGAAAGAAGCGCCCCTGTTGCTGCTGCTCCTCCCCCTTCCCCTCCTCCCATTCCGACTCCTCCTGATTGACTTGCTTGACTCGCTTGACTTGAGGCAGATGAGTCACCTTCACGAGGGGGGGAGGATCCCAGCACTGCAGGGCTGGCTCCTGATACAGTATGAAGTGGCGAGGGGTAAGGAGCGGTGGAGTGCGGTGCAGGACCGACATTATGAGGAGGGAACTCGTGAGGGGGAAGGGGGCCATGGGGGAGGCGACTGGGGGAACCGCCAGGGGGGGGGAAGAAGTGCAGAAGGGGGCGGTCAGGGGGGTGGGCGCCAGGGAACGGAGGAGGTGAGGAGAAAGGGGAGGCGGAAGAGTGGTTGGGGGGGTGGGGAGATAAGTGGTGGGGCAGGAACGCGAATGGGCCTCTGGCATGGGAAAGCATGGCATGTGGGTACATGCCAGGAGAGGGGAGACCTGGGGGCGGGATGGTGGGGAATGGCATGCCAGGCGGGAAGGGAGAGGGGATGAGTCCCGGGTGCTGTTGGATAGGTGCATGGGGAGGCATCTGTTGCTGCTGCTGCTGCTGATTCTGCTGCTGCTGCTGTTGCTGCTGGTACTGCTGCTGGTGCTGCTGCTGGTGCTGCTGCTGGTTGTGCTGCTGCTGCTGCTGGTCCTGTTGCTGCTGGTACTGCTGCTGCTGCTGCTGGTGGTGCTGCTGCTGGTTGTGCTGCTGCTGCTGCTGCTGGTCCTGTTGCTGCTGCTGGTAATCGGGAGGTTGACCTGGCTCAACTGGGAGCCAGGGCGGTAGGGCACAGCCAGGCAGAGCATGTGGACGAGAATCACCTGCCGTCTGGAGCATGTGAGTGAAGGGCGGCTGTTGTGGGAATGGGTGCATCATGGGTTGCGGCGAGTGCATGGTGTGTGGGAGAGAATGCATAAGGGGAGGATGGGGCTGTGGAGAGGGGGACATGGATGGGTGCACTGGGAACGGCATGGGGAGGGAGGGAGGAGAGGTAGGCTGCTGCTGCTGCTGCCGCTGTTCCCACTGCTGCATCTGCTCCTGCTCCTGGTTTTGCTCTTCTGTGTTATTATTGTCCAATAGCTTTCCCTGGCTACCCGTACCTTGCACGCTTGCCATTCCATCCCCCTCCTTCTGCTCCCCCAAGCCCCCTTCCTCTCCACCCATCTGTACCGCCTCAGCACCACTCTGCACCCCACCAGAGTCAGTCTCCACTGCCGTCTTTTCACCCACACCCTCACTGCTGCTGCTCAACGCGTTCCCTTCACCAGCAGCCTTTCCCTGCCCCTCCTTTCTATCGCTCTCCCGTCCCAGAACAAACTCCTCTCCCTTTTCATCCCTCTCAACAGACGTGTCCTTCCCCAGATGCTTCGGCTCCTCCTCAGCCCCAGCAGCAGCAGCAGAAGAATCAGCAGCAGGTGGTGCGGGAGGCGCAGGGGAGCTTTGGAAGAACCCAAACAACCGCTTCACAATACCAGGCTTCTGCGCCTGCTCCTGCCGAGGCTCCTGCTTCGCCATCTCCTTCCTCCCTTGCAGCGCATCCACCGAACCTTTCCCCTCTCTTTCCGCCCCCCCTCGCCCTTCTACTCCTGCTGCTGTAGCTGCTGTAGCTGCTGCGGCGGTTGCTGCTGCTGCTGCTGCTGCTGCTGGTGAGGTATCTCCATCGACTGTCCCTTCTGCTGCTACAGCCGAACTCTTTGCAACTACAGCAAATTTCTCCTCACACGAGGGCTGTTGACCCGCCTCTTTGCCTGCTTCCTTATTACCCTTCTCCTTCCCGCTCTTACTGCCTGCATTTGCAGTCTCAGAAACACCTGCTGCTGTCTGTTCTTCACCAGAGCCTGTGGCGTTCCGCTTATCAGCGCCTGCTGCACTCTGCTTATCACCAACAAGTGCTGCACTGCTATCACCAGCGCCCCATGCTATCTGCCCATCAGTAACTGCTGCGACCTCCTTAACCGAAGCAGGAGCGACAACGGGCAATGCCCTTTCCTTCTTCCTACTAACAGACTCGACACCAGCATCTGAATCTGCATTGCTAGACACGCCCTCATGCCCATGCACATAGCCGTTGCTACAGTCGCCACAACTAGTCGCACTGCTCTTGCCCTCCTGTGCCCGCACTACCATAGAGCACCCAGTACTCGCAACAAACTCATCAGCTGCCTCTCCTGCAGCTGCTTCTGCCCCAACATCCCCTCCTCCTCCTCCTCCACCTGCTGTCCCACCTCCTGCTCCTACCTGTGCCCCGCCAGTCAGCAGTGACAGCAGATGCATAGAAGCAGCAGAGGCCCCTCCCCGCGCACCACGGTCTCCCCCATCCCTCCCATGGCCCGTGTTTTCACCAGCAGCCAGCAGTGCAGGCACCAACAGCTGCCCCAAACCAGGCGCATGAGGGTTTTCTGAGCTCGAAGCTTCCAAGTATTCATCCTGCCCCTGCGCCTGCCCCTGCCCCTGTCCTTCTGCTGACTGCAGCAGTGACGCCTCTATTTCCTCCAGGCTCTGCCACTGCACTGCTGCTGGCATCGCTGGCATCAAACTCTTTCTGCCTGTTACCCCTGCCCTTACTCCTGACCCCACCCCTTGCTCTGCTTCCACGAACTGGCCAAAAGGACCCTGGGAGGACAAGGGGAAAGGAAACGGCAGGGAGATCCCAGGAGCACCGCCACCGGTCCCACCTCCCCCTCTCTCAATGTCTTCCAGACTCGGACCCACAGGCATGGGCAGAGGCACAGGCAGACCTGGCGAGGGTGGCATAGGCAACAGAGGCACAGCCGAGCGAGAAGGCGCTACAAGCCCCGTAGGAGCAGACACGTGTGGGATTTCTTGCGAGTGCATTGGCCCGGCCTGGTTCCAAACCCCTGCTGCTGCCCTTCTGCTCCTGCTGCCACCGGTGGTGCTGTCAATGTTGGTGCTGCTGCCCCTTGTGCTTGTAGGTTGAGAAGCCATAGGCATGGATGCTGAATGTGTGGTTTGATCGGGAGCAAAGAGGCTAGAGAGGGGTATGCTCCTGCTCTGAAAACCACTGCCAAAGCCAGCACCAACGCTGCTGCCACCACGGCCGCTGCCGTCACTAGTGTTACCGCTGGTTACCACAGAGGTAGAGGTGGGAGCAGCCGCAGCGGCTGAAGAGATTGCTCCCCTGCCGCTTGCAGCTGCAGCAGCGGACGGAGCAGCTTGCTGGGAGAGAGCCTCTAAGAGTGACTCGATTTCCGCTGCATCGTGGGCTGATGGGAGGGATGCCTGCGTGCCTGCTAAGGGGCCAGTGGGGAAAGAGGGATTGGGTAGGGAGGGAAGAGGGTGATAGAGAGAGAAATGAGAAGCTTGTTGGGAGAGAGCCTCTAAGAGTGACTCAATTTCTGCTGCATCATGGGCTGAAGGCAGTGATACCTGTGTGCCTGCTAAGGGGCCAGTGGGGAAAGAAAGAGGGATTGGGTAGGGAGGGAAGAGGGTGATAGAGAGAGGAATGAGCAGTTTGCTGGGAGAGAGCCTCCAAGAGTGACTCGATTTCTGCTGCATCGTGGGCTGAGGGGAGGGATGTCTGTACGCCTGCTAGGGCCAGGCGAGGGGATCTGGGAAAAGGGGCCATTTCCATCTTACTCGGAACTTGAAATTTCGAGCAAACGAACAGGAAAATCCAGTCAATCCATCCCACTTGTTACAAACCATATTTGTCATTTTGACCATGGCTGCTCATGTTCTTTTTGGTGTTGATGGTGGTGTGTATGTGTGTGTAGTGTTTCGGTGTGAATGCACCAGAAAGCAGGAAGGGTGCAAAAAGCAGGGTAAACATGGCCAACGGGCCAGCAAAACCCAAGATTCACAAGGCAGGAGTGCATGAGCACGAGAAGTACCTGGCGGTTGTGCAACTGTGGCATGGTGCAACTATGGCATGGTGCAAGGCACTCTGAATGCTTGCTAGCCTCGCCACCATCATGTAATAAGAAGACATTCAAGTCAACTCAAGAATCAAGGTAGGAGTGAGTGAGCGTGAGACATACCCAGTTGTTGTGCAGCTGTGGCACGGTGCAGGGCACTCTGAATGCTTGCCAGCCTCGCGTGATGATAAAACTTTTCAGTCAACTAAAAAAACCAAGGCAGGAGTGAGTGAGACGTACCTGGTTGTTGTGCAGCTGTGGCGTGGTGCAAGGCACTCTGAATGCTCGCCAGCCTCGCCCCCAGCGTTTCCCCTTCTCCTAACGTGCTCTGCCAATAACCACAGACACACAAACATGGCAGTAAGCCCGCCCACACCACATGTCCAGACGAATACCAAGTGTAGCGTGCGCGAGAAGCTCGTATAGTAGGCCCACCCGAGAATGCAGTCACATATGAGCTCCATACACATAAATAAATATGCTGTTCTATTTAGTCTATGTTAGCACAAAGATAAGAGGGCAAAGAGAAAATCAGGTTCAAATTGAGACGTCTCAAGAAAAGCACTTGAACCATGTCCAGGGAGCAACGAAGCAGGAAGGCAACGAAGGTAAAAAATTGAAGGAGCAGGCTGAGACGAGGTTTGAAGCCATACCGATTCGTAGCTCTTGGGGTTCGTGAACAGCTGCGTCAGAAGCGACACACTACTCCCACTCATCGAGTCACCGCTCCCACCCTTGCCCTCCTTCCCCACTCCCACTCCATTCCCAACAAACCCAGACAACCCCTCGTGAGCGCCATCGTCCATCACACCACCACCACCGCCTGCCTGCTGCTGCCCCTTCTTCTCCCCTCGCATCAGCTCCAACAGAGCCTCTGGTGTTCCCCCCACCTCTGCCCCTTCACCCCACAGCAGAGCAGCACCGGCAGCAGCCTCCGCAGCAGCAGCAGCGGCAGCAGAAGAAGACAAAGACGGGCCGAGCCCGTTCTCTTTCCCTCCGCTCTTGCTCGCAGAACCCTCCGTACTGCCCCACTCCCTCCCTCCCTTGCCCTCTGCAAACCCTTTCCCGGATCCCGCCGCACCCCACGCTGCTCCGGAGCCAAGAGGCGCAGACGACCAGTTAAGACCGGGTTGACCAAGTTGACCGGTGGAGAATGCTGAAGTCCCAGTTGCGCCCCCGGCCAAGAGCGCACCAAAGCCCATGCCTCCCCAGATGCCCCTGTGCTGGAAGCCAGCTGCAGTGCCCATGCCATTACCCATGCCCATGTGTGTGCCTGTGCTCGCACCGCCGCCGCCGCCGCCGCCTGTGTTGCTGTTGCCTGTGAGTAGTTTGGAAAGAGCCGTGGTGGCTTCAGCAGCTGAAGAGGAAGAACCAAGCAGCAAGTCAGGTGCAACAGCTGCAGCTGGAACATCCTCTTCGGCTGCTGCTTCTGCTGCTGCGGATCTGGTTTGCTTGTCTGGCGAGGGTCCGAAGAGGGATGATTCTGGAGGCAGGGACCAGCTGGGGGAGGTAGACCCTTCAGGGATGGGAGGGTGGGCAGGGGAAGGAGGCATGGGAGCACCTACCAGCACTCCCACTGCAGAATTATCCACAGAATCCACTTTTCCAGGATCGCTCACAGCTGCAACAGAATCCATCCCAGACGAACCTACCACCCCAGCATCTGCCTCTAGGTCTGACGCAAGAGCCACACTTCCGGACAGTGCCGGCCACCCACCTAACGTGTCTCCTCCTCCTCCACCGCCTCTTCCTCTTTCTGCTCTTCCTGCTGCGTTCTCAACCCCTGCCGACAGCAACCCAGACCCCAACCCAGACCCAGCAAACAGATCGCTCACAGAGAGATGCTGCCCCGCCTCCCCTCCTCCTCCCTTTCCCACATCAACACCACCCCTCGTGTTGGGTTCACGCCCACGGTCTTCCTTGATTTTATCCTTGAGTTCATCCCCATGCGCTGACTGCTGCAACTCCCTCTCCACGTCCTCGAGCGAGAGAGACGCAGAGGCAGGTGGAATCCCAGGCGGAGCAAGCCCACTCAAAGTATGCACCACCGCCGTTCCCCCAGCACCAGCACTGTCACCAACACCCGTGCCTGCACCAGCACCCGCACCAGCGCCTGCCCCAGCCATGATCCCTCCCAGCCACGCCACCAGCTTCTCTCCCTCGCCCCCTCCAACGGAGCTACCCACCCCAGGCGCACTAGCAGCAGCAGCAGCAGGTGGAGCAGGAGCATTCATCCCCAGCGCAGCAGCAGCGGGAAAGCCAGGCGGAGCTGCGGGCGCCAGGCCCATGAGCGCCGCCACAGACGGCGCCAGCCGTGCTGCCAATGCCCTGCCTGACTGTGCAACCTTCACATCCGAATCTGAATCCTCTGTGGCACGGGGTGATGCGAGGGGCTCTGAGTCGTCCTCCTCTTCGGCTGCTGCGCCGGCCTGATACGAGGAACGTCCTTGCTGCTCTGCTGAGAGCGCAGGGGAGTCCCAGAGAGAGTCCTCGTCGTGCCTCCTGCGCTGCAGCTCTGCTTGAGACAGCGGCGCCCTGTGAGGTGCAGCTGAGCCTGCAGGGCCTGCGGCAGCTGTAGCGGCTGTGGTGGTGAGGGGGGAAGGTGCATGGGGTCCCGGTGGTTGCGGCCCGCCTCCCTGCTTCTGGTGCTGCGCCTTGCGGAACTGCTCGAACTCCTCTGCTTGGATGAAATACGGGGAGGGTGGGGCGATGGGGGCAGGAAGGGAGTGGAAAAGGTAGAGAGGAGAGAAAGATGAAGGGAGACTGATGAGGAAAAAGACAGCAGGAGCGTAAAAAAAATGGGTGAGAAAGGGGAACAGTTAAAAAAAGGAAGCAGAACAAGAGAGAGGAGAGGCGAGAACAGAGGGAAGAGGGGGGAGAAGGGTGATAAGGGACAAAATGAAACAAAACGGGGAAAGGGGTTTTACGACACACAAAAAAAGGAGCAAGAAGGGGGAGACAGGAGAGATGAGAGGGACCAGAGAGACGGGAGAAGGGGAGGGGGGAAACGATGGGGCTCACCGCGGCGCCTCTTCTCTTCCTCCATCCGCCTGGCATCTCTGCTGCTCCCTCCGAACGTCTCGTCGTTGAAGGAGTCCTCCACCATCAGTGGCGCTCCCGGCACATACTGCTGCACGCGCACACACGCACGCACACAACAACGCAAGCACAGACGCACGCACGCAAGCACGAACACAAGCAGCATGCACGCACGCACGCACCCAAGCAACCAATCAAGCACGTAGCAACCGCACGCATGCAAACACACAAGCAACCAAGCAAGCACACACGCACGCACGCAAGCAAGGCAACGGGGAATAACACCAAAACACTCATATGCGGTAAGAAAAATAAACGGAACACATCCGCTGCACTGCACACAACTGAATCAGAGGCCTGCAATGCAAGCGGCTACATGTTTCCAGCCAATGCGGCAAAAAAACGCATTGGATGACACCACATCACATCACATCACACAAGCCACAAAAGGCAAGCCTCACCTTGCAGGCAAGCCCTGCCTTGCGAGGAAAAATCATCCTCTCCTCTTGGCCTCTGTCTGCACGCAGAACCTGCCTATCCGCCATCCCCTGCTGCTTTTGAGAAGTCTCACAAGTGCCTCACCTTGCGTGCAAAGTCATCCTCTCCTCTTGGCCTCTGTCTGGACGCGGCACCTGCATATCCGCCATCCCCGCCACCTCCGCCCCTCCCCATACCACCCCCCAAAACCCGCGCCCCCATACCCCGCCCATATCCCCCTCCCCTCTCTCCTCCGCCTCGTTCCCACCCCCTGCCGCCCCCGCTTCCTCCTCCTCTCTCGCCCCTGCCAAGCATCCCCGCGGGTTGGTACCTGCTCCTGAGCCCATACCCCGGGCCAGGCCCCTCAAACCCCGGAGGAGCACCGTCGCTGCTGGGCTTATCCTGGCCATGCGCGTTACTGGCTGCGCCGGTAACAGACCCTGGTCTACCATACGATCCCCCATGCGGACCAGCATGCGAAGCACCATAGGCACCACCGTACGGCCTGGTCCCAGGACCGAAATCACCGCCAGAACCGCCAGCAGTGCCGTCAGCTTTTCCCCCTCCTCCGCCTCCGCCTCCGCCTCCACCTCCGCCTCCGCCTCCGCCTCCGCTTCCGCCTGGTCCTCCTGCGCCGCCTGCTCTCCAGCTGCTGCTGGAGTCAGATGCGCGGCCGACAGGGGGGGCGGCGGACGAGGAGGCGGAGGAGGAGGACGGAAAGGAGGAGGGGGAGGGTCCAGTGGAGTCCTTGCTCCATCCTGCTTGGCTGCTGGTGCTGCTGCTGTTGTTGCCCGTGGAGAGAGCTCGGTCGGGGAAGGGACGCTGCTCGAAGAAATGCGAGCGGGAATTCGTGTCTGGACAGAGAGGAGAGGGATGGGGTTAGGGTGAGAATGGATCTGTCCGTTCACGTGGCATATCCAGCGGTAGTCTTGTGAGAAACGGGGGGAGGTTAGCACCTATCAACCTGGAAACAGCGAGATGGAAAAAACGAGAAGAGCAAGGTGGAGTTCTGAGCCACATGGACTTCGGCGGGATGAGGAGGCGTGTTGCTTCGGCGCAAAACGCGTAATTTGTGAGAGAATGAAAGGGGCGCCGCCATAGATCACGAGCTCACCTGTCTTCCAGCCAGGCTGTAGCCTCGTGACGACGGCATGCTCCTTCTCCCCAGGCGGGCCAGCTGCACCAGCCCCAACTCCCGCACCACCACCTGCGCCTGCAACTCCAGCACCGGCTGCAACTGCTGCAACTGAACCTCCGACTGACTGAGGCCGAAGACCGCCAGGCACAACGCGACCACCCGCACGCTGATCCACACCCTCCCCTCCCTGACTCTGCATTTGGCCCTGTCCCTGGGTCCGGTTCAGAACTTGGCCAGGCTGGCCAGGGGCTGAGGGAAAGGCTCCATCGTTAGGGGATCTGCCGCCGGCTTTGTCCAAGATCGGACGGCCACCGCCGCGGCCTCCTGGCCCCGGGCCGTTGTACGGAGGGGTTCCCCCGGGATACCTCCGCCCGTCTCTCCCCCATTCGGGTCCTTCGTACGCCTGTGGTGACCGGCCTTGACTGATAAGTCAAGTGTAAGGTTAGAGAGAAAGAGAGAGAGACAAAAAAGTGAGTCAGAACTTGTTGGTGGAAGAGAAACAAACGACGAGAGATTGGACGGAACCACAAGATGACAAGCAGGTTCGAGTCATTCAGTCGAAGCGTATGAGGAAGAGAATGCACGGAAGATCAACAGAATGATGCGGCTGCGTACTTGTTCCAGTCGCGGCGAGGTGGCCCGTGAACACCTTGAGGGACCGGAACAAATCCCTGCATCAATACCCTGGAAACGAAAAAAAACGACTGTCAGATATCCTGTGGAAAACGAATACCGGATCTGCAACGGTTGCCGGATCTTACATCATGAAGTGGTGCTAGGAGGAACTAAAGAAGTAGAGAAAACAGAAACACTCCCTGATTCCGCTCGGCTTACCTCCATGGCGACGGATCGAATCCTGAAGGCGGTTCCTTGCACCTTGGGAACTCCGAGAGAGACCGCAGCTGGCTGGTTGTGTACGTCTTCCTCGCCCTGCTCATGCATGTCGCAGGGAAAGCAAAATCAAGTCGTTTCGAGAAAAAAAAAAAGATGAGATCATGAATACAGAGATCCATGTAGCCATAGGCAGGGCTAGCAAGAAATCGGATCACGCGGATTACCTTGAAGTCTCGGCTCCATCAGACGCTACAGCTGAAATCGCTCCCGCTGAACTCATAGCTGAAAGCTAAAGCGTGCAACGGCAGGAATTCAGCAAGCAACGCAGCGAGACCTACCCTACATCCTAGGCAGCATATACTAAGCTAATCTACATAGAAAAATGAGCAGACTTGACCAAGTTCAGCCATTGAGTGGATTGAAAGAGTCTAGCATAATACTAAGAGCATTAATCTATGGAATTTGGAGGACCATGACTGAAACGATTCGTGAGGAAGCCATGGCTGCTGGCAGGATAACTTGAGATGTATGACATGAAGTCTGCATGTAATAGAATTATGGTGTGGAATTGGAATTTGTTGTGGATGAGACTGGCTCCTCATTGGCTGCTCTGCGGGCTGGATGAGCACTCCAGCGCAGAGTTCACAGCCTTCAGCTCGGCTGGGTTTGGTAAATGAGGGTGCCGAGCCAAAAGGGTTACCCTGTTATCTACAGGTCTGACAAAACAAGCTGCCTATTGTTGTGCTTCGAGAGTTTCCGCGCCTCACGACATTTGACCAATGAGGTTCGAAAACAGGTCTGGGTACCATGAACAAGCTTTGGCCACGGACGTTATTGTGACTGTGGAAGAATGCAACATTTTCTATATAGTCACATCATTCAGTCATAAATAGTTGGTATATGGTTCCATATAATGTAGTCTCCATACATACTAAAGGTGTTCTAGCGTTTCGGATACCGAGCTGTGTCGGAGCAGGCACTTTTCTGGCACCATTGCTGCAAGGCAACTCACATGGACGAACAAATCCCACTTAACTCCATCCCTGTGTGAGAGCTTTGAGGTCGATGGTGAGTAACTGGAAGAAACTTTCATCACTGACTATTTGCCACGTGAGCTGCGGTTACTGTCAGCGGCCCAGGAAGAGACCGAGAGTGCGCTTCTCGATCCTGTGGCGTCTTTCCAAATTCTGGTTTTCCGTACAATCTGTAGTGCTCTAGAGATGAGGAGGAGCGTGCGGGTCCTTTCCACCTCGCGTAGGTTACTTGCAGCTGCATCAGGCGCAGCTCTGGATAGCACGTCGTTAGCAGCAGCACCAATTGTAGCAGAATCCGCGCGTGCATCAGTCGCGGCAGGATCCGCAGCAGCCGCACCACCACTATGGGAACATCATGCGCGGTCATCTTTCGTCCGATCTGCAGAATTGCCAGCTCTCAGCTCGAGTGCGGTAGAGTGCTTGCAACGTTATCACGTACCTTCGTTTTCGATGTTGGGACCTTCGTTTTCGTTATTGGGACGCCAGAACCACCCGCCATCCTGTAATGTACAGAGCGTCCGCCAGGAAACGTGCACGAGGATGGCAGTAAGCGGGATGAGGCGTATGAGCAGTGAGGTGGTGCGACAGACGCAGAAGCCACAGGAAACGGTGATCATCAGCGACAGATGCGCGGAAGTGAGTATTTTCGTGCTCTGCTCGTCTTGTGACCACATGAGTACCAACGTCTGTGAGTTTGTTAGGTCGCTTTTTGTTTTTAAGCTTAGACGGAGAAAAGGCTGAGCGACGAGTGTTGGATGGACCTTTTTCTGTTTGTTGTCTGAGCAGAGACTGGCTGAGATTATTAAAGAGGAAGGGCGTGACGTGTGTTTACGATTGACCGTGGAGGGAGGTGGCTGTTCTGGGTTCCAGTATATTTTCACTCACGATGACAAGGTCACTGCTGAGGATAGGTAAGCTCCTCTCAAGCAATGGCCTTTTCTGGGGAATCTGAACGTGAGTGTTAGTCCATCACGATCTCTTTCTTCCCTTAGGCGGACTAGTTGTTGCTGATCCCCCGCGTTGAGTTGTCCTCATCTAATTTCTGTGCAGCGTTTTCGAGCGTGATGGAGTACGGCTGGTGGTAGACAACGTATCTTTGCTTTTTGTGGATGGCGCCACTGTGGACTTCACTGACGAACTTATTCGTTCTTCCTTTCAGGTGAGTATTGGAATTACTTGCTTTTCACCAGTTTGCATCCCATGCATGTGCTTAGCATTCAATGCCATTACTTCCTCCTGTCGTGGTGTGCAGGTGATCAGCAATCCCAATTCAGCGTCATCGTGTGGCTGTGGTGCCTCATTTACAGCAAAACAGTAACAAGCTCCTGTGATGTCTGTGTTGTTATAATTGTGAAAGTTGTTGGATATGAATCAGACTCTTCAACATTGACTCTCCTGAATATCCTGTAGATGCAGCCTGATAATAACCGAATGCGTCCAATATTGTGTGCACTAAACTAAAGACATGCAGCAGGAACACTCAAGAAATGTACTGAGCAATGCTTGCTACTTTAGTCTCATACCTATATCGACAATGAGCAGCTAGTTCTGTACTTTGGGTGTTGGACATCTGCGCCATAGAGAGCGAACTTTCTAACGCAGCAACCCACGCGACAAGCTGATTGGAGCAACTTCGTGGGCGTCGACACTCCACGAAACCGTTCTGCCTTGTTGGCAAGCCGCGGTGCTGTGGTGGCACATCTCGGAGATTGAGAGAACCACCATGTCAACCCATTGAGATTATCTTGGTGATCCTTCTGCCGAACTGTGGTGGAGCCTCGCACACGCACCGACGAAACAACTGAATGGGGCCACACGCCTGTCCACGCGTCACTCTCTTGATCTGCCCCCATCCCACGGAGCGCACATGCCTTCTGCCGTGGTTCAGTCACAGTCACCAAGAACCGCTGGCCAGCTCATCAAGGTCGCGTCGTCAGCCAATGCATGACAACCGAGCTGCTTGTGCGACGTTCCAGTGTCAAGGTTGCGACCCTGGCAATTACATACACTCGCACATCGCACAGTCGCACGGTAGCAATTCCAAGGGTTTGCTGACTAGAACGGATCCTTGTCTTGGCATTTCAAAATCTTGCAAAGCCAAACCTCCTGTCAAACTCCTCCCCAGAGACAGATATACATTACAACTGGTCCACCAGTTCTTGTTCCAAGATCAACCATTTTCTCACAAGCTTCTCTTGTTCCTGCTAAGCACCCCTTGCAAGATTTCGCTTTGCAGACACATTGTAGCGAGAAAATACAATGGCGACCACTTGCATTTCACGCTCTGCCCTGTCAGCGCCCGCTGCAGCTGGCGCTAAGGCGGTCTCTGCCCAGCAGAAGCGACAAACCGGCCGACTGGTCTCGTGCAGATGCTCAGGCGTTGAGGCATCCGCATCCCTCCGATCACGCTTGAGCCTGCAATCTTCGTTCAAGGGCGATGCTCTTGTGGCTCTTCCAGTTCGCGCTGTTAGCAAGCGATCCTCCGAGAGGTATGATGGTTTGAATTAATATTAGAACTCTCTCATGACCTCACCCACATTCCCTCCTCCTGCCCCACTCTCATTCCCCCTATCATGTCACTTGTCCCATGCTCCACCCTTCACTCCGCCCTCCCACTTTCCGCTTTCTTTCTCCTTCTCTCTTTCTCTCCCCCGTCTTCTCTCTCCCTTTACCTACGCTCGTCGAATATCGATAGTCATGCAATCCTCATTTCCGCGAGTGAGGCATTCGTTCAGCCGATACGCGGCGTCGACGAGCAAACGGTTCGTAGTAGACTGACCAACTTCTCCTCCCACCCCTGGTTCTCTTTCTACCGTAATGCGAACCTCAGGCTCGTGGTGGCGGACTAGGCCGTCGTGCAGTTCATTTGCAGCGTCAACGAGCAACCCATTGTTGAGTCGCCTCTCGAGTATTTCCACGCACACGCACACATTCCTCATCACCTCGCCTCCCCCCTCCCCCTCTTCCCCCCTCCCCTCAGATTCGTGGTGGTGGACGAGGCCGTCGTGCAGTTCATTCGCGGCGTCAACGAACAAACCATTCCCGAAGTCCGACTCACGCGATCCAGGTGCGTTCACGATGCGATGAAGCTCAATGTCGACGGGTGTCACACGGAATTGGGTTCTCTACGTTAAGTCAGTGACGTTCAGATCCTGTATCGTCTGTGTCCGTCGGTTGCACTGAGTAGCAGTTTTTCATGTCTCGGTGCGCATCGCCACCCGCACAGCACGAGGAAAAATAGCTTACTTTGCCTCAAGTGATGCCGAACCGACAGCAGTTGTTTGCCCTTATCTTTTGCTCTCGGAACACCTTGTCGTACTGCACTTTCGTTATTGCTCAACACCGTTTTCGTCCACTCCTGTTTCTCCATCCCCCACAACATCTCTTTCTGTCACATAGACGGTAGCATTTGCGTCATCATTTTGGATTCCGGTATGCCCTGTAGCCTTTTGGCATCACACTGATGTCCCCCTCTTATCTCCCTCGTGACCGCTCCCTCTGCTCTCTCATGCAGGGACGGCACCAGCGGCACGGCCACGTTCGTGTTTGAGCAGCCGTCTGTGTTCGACCAGCCCAGCGACCTGGGTGATATCACGGGACTATTCATGATCGACGAGGAGGGCGACCTGCAGGTACAAACCTTTTCTCTTGTCCTTCGTCCTTCCAGATGCCCCTCAGACGCCCAGCGACTGTCACAGACGGGACTGTTCATGATTGCCGAGGAGGGTAATCTGCAAGTGAATACCAATTTCTCTTGTCCTCCCTCCTTTAAGAGCCTTGACGGTTGTATCAGACCCCTTTTAGGTCATCTCAGGCGCCTTTATTTTTAGTCGGATGAGATATCTTCATCTCTATTAAATTGTATGATTTGGGTCCTGAGAAATCTGCAGACCCCTTCGGGAAGTGACGTGGGCCACCCCTCTTGCAGGTACTCTCCGATCGTTAAGACCACTATCTCTCACCATAGCATTTCTAGCAACCTGCGCCCTCACCTGCAGTTCCATAATCGTCATACTAATTTATCAGCTTCTCCTCCATCCCAATTCCCTAGCCTCTCACTTAGGATGTGAGAGCTGAAGTTCGTCAATTTATGATGGTGGGTATAGTGGTATATGATTAGAAAATGCATGTGTCCTGATTTCTTTCTCTCCCCTCTCACCCACCGTTATGGCAGACGGTGGATGTGAGCGCCAAGTTTATCAATGGCAAGCCAGCGGGCATCGAGGCTAAATACATCATGCGCACGGAGAGGGAATGGGACCGCTTCATGCGCTTCATGGAGCGATACGCTGAGGCCAACAACCTGGGCTTTGTCAAGAAGTGAAAATACCTGAGGGGAGGTGTTGGATTTGGCACGCTAGACTAGTGAAGCAGTAGGAGACGTGGCATTACACTAAAATGTGAAATGACTCTTCTGCTGAGAATATGGTTTCAGAATCAGAATTATGCAGACTTGTTAGGCAACGCTGTGGGCGCTGCTCCTATTGGTTTTGTTAACGTGATTGGTGCACGTACAAGCATGGTAAGGTAGAAAAACATGTTATCATATACTGAGTATCTCAAGTTTTCATCGCTTGCAGTCATCTTAATGACATTCACTAACAGGGACGTCTCAATGTAATCAGTGACTATGTATTGTTACAGTTTGCTGCAAACTCGCGATACATATTATAAATATCGAAATATGTTTACATATTTTATAACTGCTTGTAGTTGTAGTTGTTGAGATAATATGGAGACTTAAGCACTTCAGGGAATTCGTGTAGTACAGTGCGAGACTTCGCACGTAATAGTAAAGTACCGATAGGCTGACGTCAGCAAAGCGCTACGCGCCCTAGGATGACGTCAGCACGTAGCTATAGGCCTCGCAAATAGTCACGTACCGTTTCAGAACAGGAATAGTCTTAGAACCTAGGCATGAGTGATGTCGACTATCGAGAAGGTTGGTACAAGGAAAATGAACCTAAGGGGTTGTACCCCACAGTGTGTACCCGACTAAGCCTACCCAAAATATAACATAGATATGCATATGTTTGACACACCCCCATAGGCAGAGTGGGGGAGAACAGAGGGTCACAAGACCAGTCAGGAAGTGCAAAGCAAGCTCAGGGTGGATCACAACGTCACCACGCAGTCTGAGCACAAGCAAGAAGGCCACAAGGCCAATTCACATGCAGAGATATATATGTAACAACAACAGTACAGTGAAATCTACCTACAAGAACAAGCATGCTGAAATACATATAAATCATGGTACAAACAAAGCCTACAGCAAGTGAGGAAGAGTGGGCACAAGGCCTAACAAAGTGCAGAAACGCTGATGATCACCAGGCGGAAGTGCCTTGGTGAATATATCAGCACTATTGGCCCGAGTGGCCACGTAGGTAAGACGAAGCTGGCCACGCTGCTGCAGCTCTCGAGCAAGAAAGTAACGGAGAGCGATGTGCTTCGTTCTGTGCTCCAGTCTGTGCTCCTGACACAAGGCAATGGCAGCCTTGTTGTCGACGTACAGCACTGGAGGAGAACGAGGCCGCTCTCCCAAGTCAGTCAGCAGGTAGGTGAGCCAGCGAAGCTCCTGTGCAGCCATGGCTGTGGCGTAGATCTCAGCCTCACAACTGGAGCCGAGAACTGAAGACGAGCGTGTAGAACGCCAAGAAACTGAACCAGAGCCAAGGCTGAAGGTGTAACCATGGTCGTCAACCCAAGAAGCGTCCGAGTGACCAGTGAGGACAACGTCACCTCGTCCTCCAAGCACGAGCCCCATGCCCGATGTACTGCACAAGTAGCGTAGTACCCTCTTGGCAGCATCCATGTGCACCTTTCGGTGCCGACCAGGAGCCACGTAGCGAGCCAGAAGGCCAAGAGGGTATGCAAGGTCAGGACGAGTGCAAGTCATCAGGTACATGAGGCAGCCCACTAACTCTGGGTAAGGACCACTCGACTCTACGGACTCGTCCGAAGGTGGAGCTGAGAGTGAGTGACCTGTAGCCAGAGGAGTGGCCTGTACTGAGGACCAGGTGAAACCGAAGCGCTGAAGGACCTGCTGCACCATGTGTGACTGAGTCAGTGTGATGGTGCGGCGTGCTCTATCCCGGGTGATCTGCAAGCCAAGGTAGCTGCGCAGTTCACCCAGGTCTGTGCACGTGTGTCTCTTCTGCAGCTCCGACTTCACCAGGGTGAGAGCCTCAGTGTCAGCAGTGGCAAAGACCAAGTCGTCGACGTACACGAGAACGTAGAACGGCGGCAGCGAAGTGTCGGTGCGCAAAAACAGCGACGGGTCAGCAGTCGACGGAGCAAACCCAAGAGCCGCAAGTGTCGTCCTCAGTGTGTCGTGCCACTCACGTGGCGCCTGGCGGAGACCGTAGACCGGCCGCCGGAGGCTCCACTGGGTACCAGGAGGGAACGACCCAGTGAAGCCAGGAGGGCGGCGCAGCCAAATCTCCTCGTGCAGGCTGCCCTGTAAGAAGGCTGTGCTGAAGTCAAGAGAGTGAAGCTCGTAGTCACGCTGAGCGGCAACGTGCAGCAGCACCCGAAGAGTGGTCATCTTCGGGGTGGGGGAGAAGGTCTGGAAGAAGTCAACTCCCTCTCGCTGACTGAAGCCTCGAGCCACGTAACGAGCCTTGAAGACAGGCGGAGAACCTGGCGGCCGCTTCACCCTGAAAATCCACATGCCACTGACAATGTTCGCCCCAGGAGGGGGAACCTCGTCGACGTAGGTGCCTGTGGACTTCCAGGATGCCATCTCTGCGTCCATGGCTGTCTGCCACTGAGAGGAGTACTCACCCGCGATCGCCTCAGCGTAAGAGCGCGGGGTAGGGATGTCTGATGCATCCGGGTCTCCCTCAGGGGCAAGCAGCATGGATACGAGATGAGGCGCAGCAGTTGCAAGACACTCTAGGTCCTCCTGCCTGTCCTCAAGGACGTCCGTGCCAAGAGCACACTCACCCTTGACGGACGGAGGACAGACAGACGTAGACTCAGCAACAAGACTGGCGGCGTATTCTAGACGACAGTGAGCAGCAAAGGCAACAAGCTCAGTGACTAAGGCAGACACAGCAGCAGACTCAAACGACGGGTCAGTGACAACAGTGGCAAGCAGACGCGTGACAGTAGAGTGCTCAGCACGAAACCGGTCAGACGTAGGGTCAGCAACAACAGGCAGAGAGGACGCAGGGGGAGGCGGCAGAGGAACACGCGGGGAAGGAGAGGAAGGACGACGAACTACAAGGGGAGGGCCGGAGACAGCCGGCTGGCACTGACGAGGAACACGACGACCGGAAATGACAGGGGAGACAGGCCGTGACACAGGCTCACGACGCTCTGGAAGGCCACCAGGCTGCTCTGTGTACGGAGAAGGAGCAGGCAGCGGTGAGCCAGGCTGTAACGGAAGACCAGTAGACGAGGGAAGACTGAGAACCTGGCGAAGTGCAGAGTCAGGTGGTGGCTGAGACGACGGAGACGGCGGAGCAAAGAACAGGCGCGGCTGAGCAGTGCCACCAGCAGCTCCAGCACCTCCTGCAGCTCCAGCACCCCCAGCAGCTCCAGCACCTCCAGCGGCTCCAGCACCTCCAGCAGCTCTAGCACCTCCAGCAGCTCCAGCACCTCCAGCACCTCCAGGACCTCCAGCAGCACCACCACCAGCCCCAGCAGCTCCAGTACTCCCAGTACGAGCACCTCCGGGACTAGCGACACCAGGAGAAGAAACACCAGTAGGAGAGCCCTGAGGTGCAGAAGTGGGAAGCCGACGGCGACCGTACCAGTCGTGCAGCTGCTGGGAGGTGAGGGGCACACGCGGACGAAGACGGCTACTCCAAGGAGACCGCGTAACTGCAGTCTCAGAACCCTCAGGCAACTCACCCCCAGACACAGCACTCCCAGGCTCAGCACACACAGGCTCAGCACCCCCCAGACGCAGCACCTCCAGACGCAGTACCCCGAGACGAGGCACCTCCAGGCTCCACACGCTCAGCGCCCCCAGACTCAGCACCCCCAAGCTCCGCACCCCCAGGGACAGCACCACTCCCAGCAGGACCGGAGTCACCAGTGACCTCAACAGGCGCAGGCGCAGGGGGGTCTACCTGAGAGAGACCTGAAGGAGCATGACCTGGCGTGGGGAGGGGGTCTACCTGAAGAGGACCTGGGGCGAGAAAGAGCGGCGGGGGGGGGCGAGGAGCAGTGCGGTAGGGGAAGAGGCGGTAAAAGGGGACCGACTCGTCAAAGGTGACGTCCTGAGACGCAAAGACACGACGCGAGGCGGGGTCGTAAAACTGCCAGCCAGGCGCGTCAGGGACAAAGCCAAGGAAGACGCAAGGAATGGCGCGAGGGGAGAGCTTGTCTGCGGTGGTATCGCGGACAAAGGCACGAGCACCCCAGACCCGGAAACGCGATGCGTCGCCAACCTTCCCCGTCCACAGCAGTGTGGGCGAGGTCTCCGGCAAGGAGACACGGGGCCAAAGGTTGACCTGATGCGCGGCGTACCGGACCGCAAACGGCCACAGAAAATGGGGGCCAGCCGCATGGATCATGGAGGTACGAGCGACCTCCATGACTAAGCCAATGCGGCACTCAGCAACCCCATTTTGCTGCGGAGAGGCCGGAAGCGTGAAAGTCTGGCGGATGCCGTGCTCCGCACAGAAGGCTGCCAAGAGGTCTGAGGAGAACTCACCACCTCTGTCAGAGTGCAGACGCAGGACAGGAAAGTCCGACTGGAACCGCTCGCGGAGCTGGAGACGAGTAGCGCGGATCCAGGGGATCAAAACATCAGGGACATCCGCCTTGCGCTGCAAGGGGAAGACCGTGGTGTAGCGCGTGTAGTCGTCGACAACCAGCAGGAAGTACCGCTCGTGGCCCTGTCCACGGACGCGGGCTGGGCCCCACACGTCCAGGTGGAGAGTCTGCAGTGGAGTCTCTGTCTGAGGGAACGAGGAGGAGTGAGGAGCGGCGCGCTGCCGCCCCTCGATGCAGGGAATGCAGGGCGGCGCAGGCGAGGGAGGGAGGGGAGGCAGAGACCTGGGGAGACCAGAAACCAGGACGCGGGAGTGCATGCTGCGTAGGCGAGGCAGGGAGGGGTGACCAAGGCGGTGGTGCCACAGGAGAGTGTCGTGCGACAGCCGGCGACACTCACACTGTGTAGCTACCTGAGCAGACGCGTGCAACTGGGGAGACAAAGGGGTGGAGCGTGACGCAGTGGTGAGAGTGTAGAGACTGGACCCTGGCGCACGAGCAAACGTGGCCAGGTGGCGACCAGTCTGGGAGCACGTGCAAATCGCCACACGCTGCCGGCCAGGGGTGAAGGTGTCAACCCCCACATCCTGGAGGACAGCG